TCCCTCTTCAATGTTTTTTTTACTCATGAACCATTTACTTGTAATCTTGAATTTTAAGTAATATGTATCATTAAATTGTACTTAATGCATTAAAATCAGTTTTTAAAAGTTTAATCCAAATGTTTTATAATATAGTAATATAGTATAGATATGTGAAAACACAACTCCTTTTATATTCCAAAAACCTAAGTTTCCTTCAAACACAAAAATCTTTGATGAATTCCATCTCCATCAAATTCCATTTTACGAACTAAAAGATGTGTTGCTTGATGAGCGAAAGTCTTAATCCATGCCAAAAAAAGAATCAAGAAGAAGAATGTAGAAACCTATTTCTTTAATACGTGTCTTTTATAAATTCGTCTTATAATTAATTACGGGTCAAAAAGGACGGAGCAGAATTCTTGACACCGCCGTCTTATCATTAACTGACAGATATATAGGGCTTACTAGTTATTGATGGGTTAGTTAAAGCATTTCCAACAGCTATGCTATTTTAGAAATTATGGAGATTTGGAAAAAAGTTTGCTACAAATCTCCAACAATTATGCTAAACTCTTCTTATCTAAAATAGAGAAAAAAAAAAAAGAGGGAATGGAAAAATGTTCAATTTTTTTGAAGATGATAGATAAAATACAACATAGCTGTTGGAGATGCTCAATCTTGACTTGCCAGCTATTAATAAGATCAATAGCTGTTGGAGATGCTCAATCTTGAATTACCAGCTATTTATACATGCATCATTAAAAATGAGAGTAAAAATTAAGATGGTTGGTTTTCTCTTTTATTCGTTGTTAATACGCAACAAGTTAATGACATCCAAACGTTGTATATACGTTTGACATATAAATTAACTAAACTTGAGGTAGCTTAGTTAATTACATCAAAAAATTAGGACATGGAGAATTTATATTTTAGGTTTAGACACCAACCCTATGACTCCATGCATTAATAAGAATACCTGCTACACGGAAGAAAATAAATAACATATATGAACATAATATGAACAGCTTGTGAACAATAGTTTATTCATTATGAACATATTCGGGAGCGAACCAATGTTGAGATATGCAGCTAGTGTACATATGAACAGCTTGTGAACAATAATTTATTCATTATGAACACATTCAGGAGCGAACCAATGTTGAGATATACAGTTAGTGTACATATGAACATAATATGAACAACTTGTGAATAATAGTTTCTTCATTATGAACACATTCAGGAGCGAACCAATGTTGAAATATGCAACTAGTGTACATATGAACAGAATGTGAACACTTGGGAACAATAGTTCATTCATTATGAACAATGAGTTTATCCATAATAGCTTGAACGATATCGAAAACTTTACTACCAGGTATCTTCTACCAATCACAAATTCGAAAGCATTATAGATAGAAAAATCAATATTATAAAAAAAAAGATCAATAATAAATTAACAAAAATTATGAATTCAATATTAGATGCATTGATTCATGTCTCTACTAGAACATATATGAACACACTTGAACGTATATGAACACTAGTTGCAGTCTATGGCAGGTCAAACATCACAAGCAGTTGATGGAGCCGAATGGTTCTCATAATTGGATTGCATAACAAATTAAGTTGACGATGAACTCATTTCATTTGAACATATGAATTAGGTTCGTAGTAATAATTAAAGAAAAAAATACCAACACAATATGAACTATAAAAAACACAAAAACATCATAATCAACATATTTTCAATTAAAACGAATATAATAACATATTAATTCATTACCAATATAAACGCTTTGATTATTTCTTCAGTTTCGGAACTCGAAGTCCAATTGTCATAGTAAACCATTTTAACCTTCTCATTGTTGTCAAGTTGTTTTCCAATGTGTTTATCCATATTATCTTGAACGGTATTCGAAAACTTTACCATCGAGTCTCCTTTAACAATAAAAAATTCAAAAAAATTATAGATAGATAAATTAATATTATAGAAAAACAAGATTAATAGTAAATCAACAACAATTATGAGATTTTTTGATTTTGTAACTCTTAATTAATGATATGGGAGTTACATACAAACCAAAATTACATATTTACCCTTGTCATTAAATTATGAGATGGATATGAACCAAGATAAAAGATGAATTTTCATTGGTTGAGCTTGGTTAACAAAGTTAACACAATAATCTTGGTTAACATTTGAACCAAACTCTCTCTCTCTCTCTCTCTCTCTATATATATATATATATAATATCACGTGAGACCAACATGTTTTTATGAGACATGTGAAACCACTTTTTTACACTTGAAACTTCACAGCAAAACGTTGTGAAGGTTACCTTCACAACTTTGTCCTGTGAAGTTTCAAGTGTAAAAAAGTGGTCTACGGGTCTCGCGAAAACAAGTTGGTCTCATGTGATCTCAAGTCTCTCTGTCTCTATTTATATATGTGTGTGTGAGAGAGAGTCGGAGAGAGAAAGAGATTGGATTCAGGTGAGCTCAACCTGTTTTTTTGAGATCACAATTTTACACTTGAAACTTCACAGCAACAAGTTGTGAAAGTAAAAAACATTGTGAAAGTTACATTCACAGTTTTTTACTGTGTATTTTCAAGTGTAAAAATGTGTACTCACGGGTCTCACGAAATTTGACTGGTCTTATATGATCCCAATTCTATACATATATATACATATGTGTATATGTGTGTGCGCGTGCGTGCGTGAAGTGGTCCATTCAAGGAAGAACTGATATAGTTTTTGATAATTGTGAGATCCAATCTCAATCACAAATCAATGGATAAATTAAAAAACTAATATTTTTGGTAATTTAACTTAATATTATAGTTAAAGGGCATTTTAGGTATTTTAATTTTTTTTATCTCTCCCCTCTCTCTCACACCTACCTTCATGTGATACCCAAAATACACAATGTGATACCCAAAACACACTAAGCAAACTTTGAAACCTCAGTGATACCAATGTGGTACCACTGTGATACCAACTGTGGTATCACTGTCACATGTGGGTGTTTAGTGGTCAATTATCGGATACGGCGTCTTGTCAGACAAGATGACCAGAAGAGGTCACCGGAGTGGTGGGGGGCGCCTGAGAATGTCATCGGATTTGGTCCCTGTGTGTTCGTGTGTGTATATATATACATATATTAAAATAATTAAACTAATGAAAGTAAATTAAAATATTAAACTAATTAAATTAAACTGAATAATCAACACAATTTACTAATTTACCATTTGTTTTATTTTAGCAAGTAACATTATTTATCTAAAATGAGTGGCTCATATTAGACCTCACAGTTACCATAAACTATTTAGTTCTC